TTTGATTTTTTTTCATCACTATTCCGGAATGAAATGCATGACCTACAAAATGTGGGTTACCTTATTCTGGAAAAAATAATATTACTTTCCTTCATTCTCGGTGGAAGAGTTTTCCAAAATGCAAGAAATGCTAGAAACATAAAAATATCATCTTCAATATAGATGTATAGAAATAAATTGCAACCCTATAATCTGATTTGTTTATAAGAATTACACATTCTGTGTGTTTGATTAGTTGAAAGTGTGAATAAAATCATCGACGGGACCGTTTCCATCCGTAACGGTGTTTCTGTTTTTACATCGTTCATAAAATATAACTTCCCTGAAAAAAATATATCAAAAACTATTGGCATTCAACTGAACTAATGGAAAGGAAATACTGTGAATATTCATTAGAATTCAGGGAGTAAAGAAAGAAAATTTGACATGTTTGGTATTAGATTCTTAGAATCATTATAGCACTTTCGATTTCTCATTCTGTAATGTTCATACATGGTTATATACTATCAAAATTATAGTTTATTCAAAATATATTTTAAATGCATTATAAGAGAATCTTGCTGGATAAATTGAAAAATCATATTGAACAATCATATAGCAAGCAAAGTAAGAAGCATATTCTTGAAAATAAATAAAAAATTTCAAATAACTTTGGACCACAGAGAGATATATCAGATAAACGTCAAAATCTTATTTTTCATTATTCTTTATAGAACATACATCATTTCAGGAGCTGACCCAAAATCAGTTGTTTGTGCTTTCTTTAAGCAGGGACAATGTGGCAAAGGTGATAAGTGTAAATTTTCCCATGACTTGGCAGTTGAAAGAAAAGCTGAAAAGAGGTCCATGTATGTTGACATGCGAGATGATGGAGATGGAGATACTATGGAAAATTGGGATGAAGCTAAACTTAAAGAGGTTATCGAAAAGAAACAAGGGAAATCGGCAGTGATGCCTACAACAGACATAGTGAGTAGTTATTGACAATTGGATGAAAATATTTTTCACAGTTTCAATAATTTTTTGTAACTTATTTTTAATAGTCCTACTTTCTACACAGGGAATTATGAACTTCAACTTTTTACAATAATATGGTTTGTAAAGGCGATAGAGAGTTCTCGGACTTCTTGTGACCTTCAAGAAAAAAGGGAATTTCCTAACACTATCAGTCAAAAATTTTACCCTTCCGGTCACTGTGCACAGAGATACTTCAATAAGTGTAGTACTGAAACTGAAGAACACTATCAAAATTACTTATTTCTACTATAATATTTGCAAAAAATGTCTCGTTTACATAGATCGAGCCGGTGTATTTCATTACTCGATACAGTACTGCGCCAACATGGTCACCGCTTCATTAGTGTGAAGTTAGCCACACTGTTCCATCCACAGTTTTAGACATGCTGGTTGTCAAAGTTGTAAAGGAGAATAAATCTTAAGAAGTGTTACCACATTTTCCATAAATCTATGGCTAATGATGAACAGGACAACTTCATACAAAACTCTATTAACATGAAGTGAGATTTTTTTAATAAAATATATAGCAGTAAATATTGAGAAACACATCAAAAAATTATTTCTAGGCATTCATTAACAGATGAACTGATAGGGCCAACAATGCTTTTCAAATTCGCAGAATTTGATTATTGAAATAATTTGTGAAACGCATGTAGTTTGATACAAATTTTTCCACTAGGGAAAATAAAAATTTGTGTTTTGCAATTTTTGACGAGTACATATGCAAAATTTTGTGAACGTCTTCCTGATGAGCTGTAGTTACAGGGTGAATCATCAAATTTTCGTGACCTACCATACTGACTTTGATACTAGTAATTTGGAATAATAAAAAACTCGTATTTTCCAAATTACGATGAGTACCCCCGAAATTTTTTGGAAGAATTCACAATAGGCTATATGGCAGGGTCGAATATCAAATTTTCGAATTTTCAATTTTCACTTGGAAAATTGAAAATTCGTCAAATTAAGAGGGAAGATATTTTCCAGGAGAAAGGCTAGACTTCCATGTAAGTGAAAATTTATATCAATACTCTTTCATTTATCACATTGTGTTGTTTTCCTGTGAATATTTGTTTCAATTCCATACCGAATTCCATGTTAATGTGGAGTTGTTGTTTCGAGAGGTTTNTGGATTACTCTTCATAATTCAATATAGTTTCAAAATTTTTCAGTAAACACATTCCATATTCCGTCATTATTTCATTTTTGAGTAAATGCCTAGATTTTGTTGATATGTTTATCGCAATTTGTGCTGCTATATATTTTACGAAAAAGTATTCCTGTCAATTGATTTTGTTGTGAATTGTTTTCTAATCATCATTTTGGTCAAAACAAATAACTAGTTGCCTACATACGGTCACTCATTTGAAGTTGTGTTTGTTGTTTATGATGGTCATTCGTGAATTATTATGTTACATATTAAAATACAAATACTTTTTATCCCTTCATCTCGATCAGTCTGTATTGATAAATACATGGCAGAATGAGCGGTTTGAGGATGCAATAAACTCTTTTGGACGATGCGGTGCCCTGGTCGCAAGAAAGTTCTCGTTCAAATTGACTTTGCCCGTCTGAACAGAATCTCCTTCTCAATGAAATAGACCATAACAGCAACCAATGTGTTATTAATCCATTCTAATTATCAAATAGACAGACGTAAATATTAGTGAAAAAGATAGTTTTAAATCCTATTAAGTTCGAATCAAGCAGTTAACAAAATCGTTTTTTTTTGCTTCTAGATCTGCAAGCACTTCTTAGAAGCTGTTGAAAAATCTAAATATGGATGGTTTTGGCAATGTCCTGCTGGCGAAAACTGCATATATCGCCACGCCTTACCACCAGGTTTTGTTCTCAAAAAAGATAAAAAAAAACTTGAAGACAAGGAAAATGAAATCACCTTAGATGATCTGATTGAGAAAGAAAGAGCAGCTCTAGGTCCTAAGCAAACTAAAGTTACCCTAGAAACGTTTTTGGCATGGAAAAAGAGAAAGATTCAGGAGAAAAAAGATCAGGCCAAAAAAGATGAAGATAAGAAACGTACAGATTACAAAGCTGGAAGACAAGTTGGATTGTCCGGAAGGGAAATGTTTAGTTTTAACCCAGAACTGGCGAATGATAATGATATGGAGGAAGGAGATGAGCTCTTTGACTCAACAACATATGCCCCAGAAGAAGATTCTAATGTTTACAAAGAGATCAATTTGGACATATTAGAGCAGGATATACAAGAGGTTAGTGCTGGACATTATTGTTGAGATATAATTCAGTTGGCCAACATTTATTATTTTATAGTGAAGAATAATCTCTGGATTGTTTCAGCAAAACCATTTGGAATTTTTATTTTGATTCAAAGTCAAAGTTTCAGAGAAAAAAGTTCTCAATATCTCAGGAAGATTCAAAAATATACCAAAAAGCGTAATCACCTTTTTCGTTTATCATAATGTTATTTACAAAATATGAGTTTTGAATTAAAAAAATTTAAAACTAGTGAGGCCGAGTCACAAGAGGCAACTTCAAGTGGATCTGCCTCGGCAACAGCAGTCCCCATTAACGAGAACCTTTTCCTTGAAGATGACTTAGATGGTCTAGACGATGAACTAAATGATTTGGAGCTAGAGGAATAACATCAGGGTTAGCTAAAAATTAGCCCGATCGGATTTTTTAGAACTCAATAATAGGCTTTACAACTATTGAAAAAGTGAAAAGTGTAAATAGACCTTCCAACTTTGGTCATTTGTTTTTTTATTATAAATAAAATATTTAAGTCCAACTTATTTTAATAACCATATTTTCCTAATAGAAAAAATATAATATTCAATTAATTTATTCTTTGAATGAACTCCACAATTCTTCAAACTCTTCACTATATCTCTGAATTATATTCAAATTGTTTGTTAATATAACTGCATCAAAATTAGAAACTAATCCTTGGCTGGTTAAATTAAGGCTACCAAAAAACATTTTGGCAAGTTCCTCCTCTTCCTTATCAATTAAACAAAATTTATGATGCATCATACCGTTTATGGAGGGCTGCACTTTGTAGCAAATGCCTGAAAAAATAAAATAAGTTCAGTATTTCAAATGACTTGATACATACCATTTTCTTTAAGTTTCTCAAAATTGTCTCGAACAGGTTTTACCTGAAGCATTACTTGGTCAGTTATTACTCTGACATTAATACCTCTTTTATGAGCTTGAATCAATTCATAATTTAGATGTTTAAGGGTCAACATATAAGCACAAAGGCAAATGCTAACTTTGGCACTGGATAAGAAGTTTTGCAAAGTTTTCTGGTATGTGAAGGAGCAATTTTCTCCACATTCTTTTTTATCTATTAAATGTTGTTTACAACCGAAATTTTTCGAATCTATGAAGATCATTTGATGGTAGAAATTATCTTCATTTTTTGATTTCAAAGAAACATCAAATTTTTTCCTGAGAATATAGGTCAGAAAAAACGGTAACGAAGAAAACGTGAAGAATAAAACTGACTGTAGAAATTTATTCATTGATATTTCCAAGAGAATTCATTAACACCATATATCCTAACCAAAAATAAATCTAACCTAAACACTACTGACTAGTAGTGATGTGCTAGTTCAAATAAAAAATAATCGATAATTCGATTATCATAATAATTCGAAATATCGAATCGATTATCATTCTTTTTTTAATTATATGGTCGTTGCGTCATTCAGATGCATTTGACCATAGTTTGAGTTAATTTTGACATCATTTTATTTGCATCGAAGAATTCAAGCATAAACATAGAGCTGTTCTCTATTGCTTGTACCAGAATCACAATTGTTCATACTGTCATTTTGAAGTCAACCACTAATAGTAAATGTTTTTGTTGTCGCTGATTAAGCAGGACAGCGAATAACTTTTGGCAGGAATGACCCAATCTGAGGTATTTTCTGGCTTCTGGCGCGCATGTATTCAAAACATATTCGTCTGTGATTCAAATACATTCATTCTGGCGTTGAAACTATGACGTCACATCAACTATGATCTGTAACATATTCATCATGATTCAAAACTAGCGTGAAGTTGGTTTTGAAACGGAATGTGACATTACATTACGTCAGTTTCTGCTTCATTTTGATCGTTATAGTTCATAAAGTGCTTTACATTTTTCATTAAATACATTGTAAGGATGTATAAAATTAAGCTGGAAAATTCTGGAAAATTATTACTTACATAAATCCGACTATAATTGAGTTGGAGAAAATTGAAAAGTTTATTTTTATTTTCGAATTTGACATCTGACATAAATTGAATCATTCCATTCTGGCGAAACTTATTATTAATGACGTAACTACGAATCCTTTTTTGAATACACTTCCATCGTAAATGTCATAAATATGATTTGTCGTTAGGAATCACACGTTAAAAGGTAAGACCTCGTTAGTCCTTAGCTCGCACAAGTTTCGACTTCTGAGGGTTGTTGTTCGTAGAGGTGCGATAGCTGGTTAACGAAGGAAACATATTTTAAACATGCAATTAAAATGCCATTCCAAAATTCAAACAAACCTAATGAACTATAAATTCAAAATGAATTCTGAATATATAGAAATGAAATAAAACATTGTTCTAAGTTTACAGTAAAAATCACGGTTAAATCTAATGAGGTACATTCAAATACTGAACAACTACCTACTGTATTATCGATGTCTATTGAGTGATTCTATTGCGCATTGCGAGTGATTTATAATTCGAATAATAATTCGATTATGCAAACAAATCGATCACTAATAACACTGTCACTAAACAATAGTGACAGTGATAATTAAAAAAGTACTGGAGGATAGAGAAACTAAAAAAGTTATAGATTTAATATAAAAGAGTACTCAATCGATCAATAACACATACGAAAGCATAAAAGGTCCACAAAAATCAAAATATTATTTTTCTTCAATTCAGGATTGTAACTGTGAATTCACAGTAATAACTATGAATTTTCAGTTATAGGTGTGAATTCTCAGTTACAACTGTGAATTGTCATTTTCCAAGTTTCAGTTGCACTAGTTGAATTTAACTTCAGCTAGGTTTGATTGCAGGTTAGTTTTTGTTTCGTTAACAATCATATTTTAAATAAATTTGCAAAAAATGTAACAGGCCGACTTATGTTGTGCCGAGTACAAAGTGTACATGCGAGGAATTTGGTGTCTACAAACGCTGAACATAATCTTCAGATATGAGTGTGAATTCACAGTTGTAAGTGTGAATTTTTCAGTTTCGTAGCTCTTCTACGCTTACGTAGACACATAGGATAGATATCAACTATTTGCCAAGCTGTAGTTAGTTTTCATTCACTTTTGAATCCCAGTTTGACATTGATAACAAATAAATATTTAGTTATTTAGAACAGATTCACTTGTTAACTTTTGAATCAACTGAAATACGAGATCGTCTATTTTCATTGTTCGCAAATCTGGTGGTACCGCACGAATTGCTAACTTGCTTTGGATACCAATAATTTTTTTAAT